ATCAGCGGAGAGTAATCTGTTCAGGCTTCAGTCTGGCTATAAAACTCAGGCTTCATGGTACAACATGTGCCCTGTTTTGTTTCTTCCCTGTCCCCACAGCCAGTCCATGCTGCTGTCAGATGTTTTGGTTGGCTCCCCTAATGGTTTTGCCAAGTCTGTGTGCATGAGCATTCACCCGAGCATGAGAAAGAGGAAATGCATCCTTGCCTAGGCAACCAGACTGTCACTCTCCATCTTTCCAGGCTGTGCGTGTGAGTCCATTGCCCAACAATGCTGCAGGGCAAAGCACTCATCCTAATGGGAATGGATTCCTCTAGATCAGTTCTTTCTAGAAATATTGCATTCTTTCAATAAAACCTGTGAAAATTAGTTCTAAAAAACCCCTGTGGCCAGTACATGCATTGTTTCGGGTCAGCACTAGTTATTACAGGAATTTTCACTTGCTTCTTTGAAATGAACTCTTTGCTTCTTGCTGGCTGGGGCATATTGGAGCTTGCACACCACTTTTTGTGTCCAAACTTGCATAAGATTGTGCCATAAAAAAAGGAAAGGCAGCTGTTCAGATCATATCTTCAGAGCTTAGAACAACCATTTTCAGTGTTGATATGCAAGTAGATGTATTAAGAATTTCCAGAAGATGGTAACTTCTATATTCATGGGGGTAGTCAGCAGAGGAGTAGACAGACATATGGTTAAAATCCCAATAAAAACTATTAGGGTCTCTGAAAACATACACAATAAACCCTCCAAGATTGTCAGCCACAAGGCACTAAGACCCCCTATCTGCTGAGACCAGTCTCCAGCCCAGGTTTCTCATCTGTAAGAATAGCAAGAAATAGAAGAAAAGTAACTACAAAATATGAATAGACTTTGGTGGGTGGCCTCCATTAATCTCTCATTGCCCTGGGTTCCTAAAACGACTGCAACACACAACTCACTGCTATCACGATCTAACAAAATGATCCATAGGATGTCTGTTTCCCAACACCTGGAGCACCATCTTCTGGCAATTATCAACACAGCATTTGTAATCATTTTATTGTTCTTCAAAGATTTGAATCTTTCTCTTACGATCATGGCAACCTCTTAAATTTGTGAAGCAGTTCACAATCTTTGCTATATTTGGTTCCCCTTCCACACAAAGCTCCAGATGGCACGTCCCTGTTTCTAAGAAGTAGAAAGTCTCTATTTCGATTTCAGCAAAGAATAGGAGATAGAGGCCTGGTTTGGCTGATTTGTTTGGGAGCACATAGGAGCAAATGAGCTTGCTGGCAGGGATTCAGCATTCCTGGATTATTCTCCACAGCATGCAAACTTGGGTTGTGAAAGGAGAAAAATATCAACCCATGTTTGATCCCTGAGTTAACTGGAGAACAGCTCAGGTATAAGGTTTCCTGGGTTGTTTAGCAAAACAGAAACAGGCATGTGATCAGAAGACAACACGTTCCTGTGCTCTCCCAAACCACCCAGGTTAAGAAATCATCTGAAACAGCCTGTGAGTTGGCCAAGACTACACAGTGACTTGGTTTGCACGACTGCCGCAGACCAACCAAGCCATGGTGAGTTGAGGTGCATGCCAGCTGCCATTTTGAATATATAAGCTGGAGGGTGGCAGGCTGGCATATTCAAACAGACAGCCAGTGCATGTTGTGAAGCTCCGTGGGTTAATTAACCCATAGTGGCCCGGCATGACTTGCAAACAGGCCCAGTAAGCCCATGGCAAAGGAGGTTTTTGACATCCAGCTTTTTAACCCCAAGGCTATAAATTAAAACCAAACTATTTTGTATTTTTTAAAAGTTCATAGAAAATAGTAAACATCATGAGATTGCTAAAACAGTCTCAGAAAGAACTCTTTAATGACCTGTGGACAGCCTCTATCGGAGACCCTAAAGCAAGGGTGGGAAACCTCAGTTGTGGGGCCAAATCAGGCCCTCTGGAGTTTGCAGGAAAGACATGCCTCCCTCCCCAAATCCCATCTGCTGATTCTTTGGTGGTTTCTTGAGTTTTGTGCCTTTTCCCCTCATTCTAAAAAATGGAAATGCCTTTCTCATAGGGCTCGGCTACTTACAGTAGGAGCTTTCAAGCTACAATAGGCTGATATTTTGCTATTTTGACCCACCCTATGGACCTCTGACATGTGGCCTGCTGAGAACTTCTCCTGAATGGAATGCAGCCCTTGGGCTGAAACATGTTCCCCACCTCACCCCTGCCCTAAAGAGTCACTTCCAGTCAGTGTACTCAGTATTGGGCTAGACGGACAGGTTGTCTGACCTCAACGGAAGCAGTTACTATCTGCTGCAATTTTGCATCAAGTGACTATTCCGGCCTGCTGTGTTTGGACAATCTCCTCTCACACCCACACGCCGAACTGCTTGCACTAGTATCTTTCCTTCTAAAATACCGCACTGATCACTTGCTATGGCAGACTGGGCCGCTTACTCACATGCAGTTCCTGTGCTAGTCTTTGCACGTATGGACTGCAAATGAAACATGGAAAGTGCAGCTTAGGGATCCGCTGGAACAGGAAGGGATCATGTATTGAGGGAGGGAAATGAATGGTTTGGTTGCCCCAGAAAGAAATGGAAGCCAGGATGCTGATATAGATGCAGTCCAAAGGAATGCTTCATGTCATCCTTTAGGAAACGGAAAGCAAAATCCGTTTTCCTAAGCACTGCTTGATCCCCAAAACTAAACAGGGATACCCACCACATCACATGCATTTTCCAGAATGAGCATCAATGCCAGTGCCCAAACAGAGGAAGAGAGCACAGTACCTGATACTCTGAACCAAAACATCTCCTTTTGGTCTCAACCACTGACTGCCTGTAGGCAGACAAATGAAACACCAAGCCCACACAGATGTTTATTTGGCCACCAGCCTGTGCTTCATGGGTGTTCAAATCCTCTTTAGCAGCTGGCAAAATGATGCGAACAGCCAGTTGTGCTTACTCTGGGGTAGCTTGGTCATTTGCCTGGGCTCTCCCAAACCTGTTTGCATGTGGGGGCAAGAATGCTGAATTCCACTTGCACAGGAAAAATACTGTGGGAAGTGGTGCCAGCAGCAAACCACTTTAAACCTCTTCCTACCATCTCCAGTTTACCTTTCCTGACTTGCTATCTGTAATTTATTTTCATCAGCTTTTCCACCAAGCCCTTTGGCTAAGCAGAACTGTAATTTTTCAAAGGGCTCCAATTCATGTTTCATCTCAGCAAAAGGAGAAGAGTGCTGATACTAAAAGGGGCAAGGGATTTAAAAAGGGGAAACATGCAGATAAGATGGTAGTCCTCTATTCTTACCTATACTAGACTTTCTCTCAAAAGTCCCCTGCAGTGATACAAGTACCTGAGAAACTGGGCTAACTAGAGATCACAGCCCAATTTGTGTGTGTGTCTTGGGATTAGTGACCACAGTATAAGATCTCCAGCTCTTGAAAAGCTTATTGTTTGTACAGAGCTCAATTTCCCTTCAGTTCAAGAACGGCCATGGAATGACTTGTTAGCTACTCCTTTATGAACCTGTCCCATTCCGTATCTGTTAGTTCTCCGGGGTCAAAATCCACTTGTTCATGGTCATCCTAGTTAAATTTGTTTATTGCTGTTCCAAGCCCTCTAAAAAGCCCTCCTTAGTAGCACATGGTGCAAATGGCACCAGTAATTGGGACTCCTGATTTTTGCCAGCTTTCTGTGTGAATGATGTGGCTGTGTTCCCAGCATAAGAGGCAGTTTTCCTCCTGTACCATTCTGGCACTTTTTCACATAGCAAATATATTTCTGCTATTTTCCCTGCACACACAGATTAAGTGCTCAGTGGAGAAACAGAACATTCTAAAGTTCTCTTCTCCTACCTAGACTGGCAAGGTTTTTAAGCCTAATTGCAAGGCAGAGGTTGATTTGGATAGAGAAAACACTCCTCATGCACTCTAGGCACCCACCCATGTCTTCTGCATCCAGCAATTAGGATTTGAACATTCTGAGTAATTTTATGTTTTAAAGTCTGAGATCATTGCTCCCCTCAGGGTGTGCCATGGCCCCCATCCTCCCTAGCTGCTACACTTTTAAAAATCACCAACTGTGGAAATTTCATTTTAAGCTTAAAGTGCTGGGGAGGGCAGAGTGAGGAGGGGGAAATAGAGAAGGAAGGGTACCAAGCAGGATGGGGAGATGGGAGACCACTGAATGGGTGGTCTGTGTGCTGGCTTTGGCTCAGCTCACTTTTGAGGCAAGTCCCCTTAGTTCTTGCCCCACTCGCACACGACTGGCAAGCAGCCCCCAGGATGGGCAGGAATGGCTTGACTTGTGCCAAGTGGGGCATGACACTCTGCTTCTCCCCAGCCATTTGTGAGGCATTCCTCCACAAGCAGATACATTTGCCCCACTGGCTGGCACACAGCTGCTGTTCGCCACGCACGATCTCCCTGCCCCCTTCAGACCATCTTGGCAGAATACTGAGTATCGGGCCTGCCCTCCACCCCAGCAGCCCCACTAAGCACCAGCTGCTGCCAATGCCATTAGGGAAAGCAACCCTTTGACCAAAACAGGCACCCCACCCTGTGCGACTCCAGGTGGCTACACGCAGTTCCCAGGTGGCCTCCCCCACAAGCTCAGGCCAGCCCCAGACCTGCTTAGCTTCCACACGGTGGATGCCTTAGGTGACTTCAGACTATTCCCTGGCCCATATTCTTTAAGCATGAGTCTAGATTAGTGATTCCCAAAGCAGAAAGGTCGGAGCGGGGGGGGGGGGGTGATTGGTTGCTTTAAATTTGCAGTAGAGCAATAGATGTAATAGAAAGAAAGAGGCATGGGGCACTAGGGTTATTGCCCAAGACGAAAGGGGGCAGCAGCTCAAAAAAGTTTGGGGACCACTGATCTAGACAGACTGGGAGATGGGAGCTGCAGCAGTAGCATTTAAACAGTAACGTCAAAACTTCGTGCACAACAGGTACCTCTGAAACCACTGAAATGAACAGACAACCCCTTTCAATCAGACACACAAAGGAGGTGGTTTACTTAAATAATTTTTAATATTGGATCATGCTCATGTTTGATAGGATTTCTAACACACATTTCAGCACAGACAAGCATAGAGATCACCCAAACTACACAGAAATATCAGAATAAAGAGGATGCAGTGATTGCCAGGGGGATACGAGGTTCACCTCAGACCAACAACAAAACTGCTAGGTACCAAAGAGAAGCAAGGCGAGTTCTGGCGAGGAGGAGGGAAGTCAGAGATTGCTGCGGAAGGGGATTAGGGAACTCTCTCAAGACAGACCACAGTCCTATTCTGTTTGCTGAGCCAGCCGGATATTAGATTTCTTCACATATGACCCCAATCTGGGCCAAAACACTGTGGTTTTAATCTGCAAGGCACCTCTGCTGCTTAAAAACCAGGCAAGATACCTCCGCCATAGGCTTTCATGGTACTTGGCAGGATCCCAAACAAAAGCATGGAGGTTATGAGATAAAAAGATATCCCCCTTCCAGGTCACAGAGGTGGGATACCAGACATACAAAGAGGGTGTGTGCACCCCCAACATGTACGCACTCTCACAAATACACTCACAAATAGTGAAGTACAGCAAACACCTGTCTCAGAGGTAGAATCACGAGGGGGAATCTACCTAGTGTTGGCACATTCCATGCACAACTCTAAAAGCAAGGCACTGGCTACAAAAGGGGACTTCAGATTTTGGTCCACAGCGGCCTAGAGGGAGGGCACGGCAGGTCCCTGCCCACCTCCCAAGCATGCCTCAGAATCTGCCGCTGTGGTACACCTAGAAAACTGCTTTCCAGTGCAAGATCACGTGTGCCTAGCAGCAAACAGGTGCAGTGCCGAGGAGGTGGCAGCCACCAACAGTGCTTCTGGTGAGCGTACAGCATTTGCCTAAGAGCCTGAAGGGAGCGAAGCGGAGGCTGCCTGCTTTCCCCAGGATGGCCTGCTGACAAGAAATGTGACGAGTTGGACAAAAACTGCTAATGGGACCAAAGAGGCCCCCCACCTTTTATACAGTGGCCTGCCTACAGGCAAGGTTCAAAAGCCAGGAGTTAGTGATTCCCCTAGCCAGAATCCTATAGAGAGTGCGCTCCACAGGGCTAGCCTTCTAACTGCTGTGAGCCTTTCATTGTGCAGGACTAAAGCCAAAGGCCTGGGCATGCACTGCTGCTGGTCATGGGGCTGTTTGGGGGGCTCCTCCTGGCATGTGTGTCCCTGGGCCTGGGCCTGGGCCCTGGCTAGGAAAGGCAAGGCATGGCCCGTCTTGTCCTGTCTCTTGGCATGCCATTTCCAGTTTGTGTCACATGGCTTCAGGAGGAGGCAGACGTGATGGCCGGTTGGCTCCTCCAGATGCATCATCCACCTTCCCAAGAGGCCTCCGCCTGTTCCCAGAGCTGCTGGTAAGAAAGCAGCGCCCTTTCAGTGACTTTTCCCTCTTGCCAAATGCAGAAAGAAGATCTGTGTACATATGAATTATGCAGGGGGCAGGCGTGGCAAGAGGCAGCCTTTCCAATCCAACACAGAGGATAAGGAGGTTACTGCCCAGGCATGGCAAGCCGTGCTGGGAGCTGAACATTCATCCCAGAGTAAAACAGCTCTACCTTGGATCAAAGCGGGCCGCATCTTCCCACAGGCACACATCTCAGGAATTACAACAGTGGCTGAAACAGATATGGGAGTGATCCAACTGAAAACAAACAAACAAACAAACAAACAGCAGCAGCTCCAGGGAAAAGGCATCAGATTTTGATTGGAGATGCTGTGCTGGTGTTTCTGTACCCTTCCCTCTGCACCATTTGCCTGAGCCACACCGTCCACACGCACGCACACAACGCCATATGCCTTGCAGGAGGGAAACAGATACCACTCTGATGCAGGCACCTGCTTTCCCAACCCCTGAGCTTACAGCAGCTTTGGGAGAACATGTGACATCAAGTACATCTCTCTTCTCAGTGCCGCTGATCTAATCGAAATGGAAGCAACCGTAAAAAAAAAAAACTTGTGTTTTTGTTTTAGATCAGAACGGATCACAGATCTGCATCATATCCCTTTTGACCCTAAGGCCAAGTCCATTTCCTCTGAACTCCCTTCACGCTAACAGCCTTATTGTGCCTGTGCCAAAACCATCTTCTTTAGCCTCCTCTTGGTACTTCAATAAAGACATGCAACTCTCTCTCTCCTGTTACACGATTATAGAGAAGGACAGAAGAGTTCACGAAAGATATACAAAAGTTAAAAGTGCCAGCATCTGGCACACTGGGCTCTCCCTGTTAAGTCTGACCTGGACTGAAGGCTCCGCTCCTCCCTGTTCATTCACAGTAATCCACCAGTTGCTGCAGGCAGGACTGGCTGGTGGCCCTCTAGATGGTTTGGCTTACAGCTTGGCATCCATCAGTCCTAGCCAGCACAGCCCCTGGGGCTTGTAGGCCAAAACAGCTGGAGGGCCACAGGCTATCCACCCCTCTCCTAAAGGCTGAGGTTTTCCATGAGTCAAGCAAACTAATAGCTGAAGGCTTTGAAGAGAAGAGCAAACCCAGGGCCATGCTTCACACCAGACCGAACACTGAAAGCTGGAGGTCTTGCACAGCAGGGACTGTGAAAACATGCTACGTTGATGAAAAACGGAGGAGCTGAAAGGGGTCTTTGCTGGCCAGTGAAAAAACTATGGCTAACAACAGCTAAGTTGAGCATGTAACATGAAAACAAACTGGGGGTGGCGGGAGGCATCACTGCCACACTTTAGCCCCTGGTTTGGAGAACGGCTGGGCCAAATACACAGCGGCTCATTCTGGATATCAAAAGGACCCATCCCCACAAGCCCCGGATTTGCTTGCCTCTGCAGATGGATTCCCATGCTGAATTTTCCAAAGTCCTCAGCAATGCCCTGCCACAGGCCTGTGCCCAGCTCTTCAGCTTCTGCAGTGAGTTCTGCTCCACAAACAATACTGGCAGCTTCCCAGTCTGATTTGCAGGAGGCTTCCTCCCCTTCCTAGACGTCATTTTGGACCCCAGCAGGGGTTTTGCCACCCCAAAATGCCTCAGCAGCTTACCAAGTGCAAACAAAACATTAATGCCTTTCCAGAAAATACAAAAGGTAACTGTGCTGCGGAACAAAAACACACACACGACCGGAGATTAAAAAGGTCCAGGATGCAGGGGGGTGGCCAAGATCTCTTCATGCTCATGGAACCAGGGCAAAATGGGAGCGTGTGAACGGCCTTTTTCAGCGAGCATCCAGGCTGGAGCTCATGGTCAGCGGGTCTTCCTCCTGGATGGTCTCCAGTTCCTCTGTCTGCACAGCCTGCGTGATGAGGGTCAGCTCCTGGGAAAGAGTCTCGTAACGGTAGGCCACTCGGATGTCTGGCACATTAGTACGCCGGATGTCATTGCCCTCGGGCCCCTCCTTCAGGTAGTGCGGTCCAAGCCAGTAGCTCTTGACCTGGGTAACAAAGGCAGAACCCAAGCCCTGGTGAGGACAAGTGGTAACTTATGTTCTCTATGCTACCCTTCAGCCACAAGAATTTGCACGCCTTTCCTTCATAAACACAAGCCAGCACTGGCACACCACGTCCCTCTACTTCTGTGCACCTTGGGCTTCCCCAGCCCTACGGATGCTGCTCCTCTTGCATGTGGATGCCGCTGCACTGGCTACATACAGAGCCACACTTGGAGAATGACTTCAGTATTAGTATGCAAGGAACAAAAACCAAATTGGTCCGTCCCTTCCTTTGTAAAGGGGAGGGCCTCTAGCTCTGAATGAAAATGAGGGCGTTGCGGTGAGTTAAACCAGCAATGTAGAGAGTAGAAATAAGATTCAGACAGTGCCAGTTTTCTCTGGTTTCCTAAGGGTATTTCCAGATGGCCAAAAGACAGCCATGCACAATCTGCCAGTTTATTCTTTCTACTGCATCAGTGCTCATCTTGGTTACAAAGCTTGCAGTGAGGTGTCATACCCCACAGATGAATGGGGGAACGGCCTGGCTGCCAGGGCGGATGATAATTCAGATGGCATTTTTCTTAAAGGAGCAAATGGACTTTTCATTGCTAGAGAGAAGTGCACAGGCCCAGACTGGCTCCCACAATAATGAAATAAAAGTTGGGAGAGGGGGAGAGAGATGAAAGGTTCACAGATGATGGGGGATCGGGTGTGTGAGTGGGGGATAAAAACAACTTTGAAGAAGCAGCTCAGTGAGAACAGAAAAACATACTCTGTGATGGGTACAATGTTGTGGTTTACTGGGGTGTGTGTGTGTGTGTGTGTGGGTAAGGGGGTGGGGGGAGGGAGATGGAACAGAATATCCGGGGAAAGGGTGCCACTAACAGGAGCACTTCATACTGCAACGTTTTGTTGCAGACCCCACTAGTTCCCTATATTGCTGAAGGAGGGTGCCTGTGTGTAGATATCCAGAAGGCCTAGAAGGGCAGAATCAGAGGGAGGCTGGAACCATCCTTTGCTTGTTCCACCCCGAAGAGTTAGACTCATGTGCTACTCTTTGCTGGCCAGGGCTGGAAGAAGCCTTCTTTGGTCAGGAAGAGCCCTGCTGTTTCACATGCAAAGGATTATAATGGTGGTGAAGAAGCTAGGTTTAGATAGTATATGCCTGCCACAAAGGAAGTGTCTGCCAGAGCCAGTTCCCTCCCAGCCAGGGTTTTGTGAGCAGCCAACAAGGCATGCCCTGGTGGATGGAAGGATCACACCCACAGGGAAATTCGAGAAGGCATTCCCAGTGGCACACTGAGTCACACTTCTCCACACTTCAAGGATCCTTTCAACAGTGAGCGCAACTGCTCCCTCCTGCAGAAAGGGTCACAGGATGGGAATTGGGCTCAGAAAACACACCGCTCTCAAGCCAAACCCCCCGTTGGAAAGTTGTGTCATTATTACAAGAATACGCATGGTCAGAAGGTCACAGCTAGATTTGGATGGGTGGGTGGCCTTACACGATTCTTCCATTTCTACAGCTCGATAGATTGGGCCCAGGTGCATGAATCCTACACAGATACTCCACTCTTTTCTTAAGATATGGAGGGATGGTGCAAATGTAATCTGAGGGAAGCCAATGCGATGCATTTAGAAAAGCCCCAGTGTTACCTTGTGGCTGAAGCCGCTCATGAGCACACTGTTGCGTGCAAGTTCACACATGTCGCAGGAGCTGAGTTTCCAAACTTGTGTGGCGATGCTGTATTCTTCCATCAGAGGCTCCTGTGAAAGATATGTTTGGGCATTACAGTTTGCAGACTTTTGCAAATGCATGCTGGCAGAGCATTTGAGAGCATGAAACAGATGTGCAGAACATCAAGACCGGGTGCCAAAAGCAGTCCCCTGGATTCTCCGGATGTTCAATGCTTCCTATCCTCTGCTTTGCTTTTGCTTTGGGGGCAGCAGTGACTGAAAAGAGAGTCACTAGATGGCAGCATTTGTGTCGCCAACACCCACAACTGAAGCATTCAGAGGAACAGGTGGCAGGTCCATGCCCAAGTATAAAGCACTCTGTATGCCTGTTACAAGGAACAGCAACAAACAGATGCACTCTCTGTCTACAAAGGGGAGTGCATAAATAAGGTCTACAAATATGAGAAGAGAAAAAGGTTGCATGTTCTCCAGGGTAACCATAATTACTAGAGATATTTCTGAAATCTTCCTTCCACAAGGCCAAGGAAGTCTCAATCAAGGCCCTGCTCCGTCATCATCTCCAGTTTTTATCACATAGGAATATGGCATTAAAGACTGATATGGTGTGGGGAACTACGTGTGTCTGGCAAAGGAAGGGAGGTTACTCCATAGGATGTAGAAATCCAGGACCTCCAGAGTAGCTACCCGGAAATGGTACCTATTCTGTGTGCAAGGCCAGCTAGACAGGCTGCATGAGAGGGGTCTCAGTGAGAGGGTGGTGTCAGGTGGAGCAGATTGGATTTGCTAGGTACTAGGGAACATTTGAGATCCAGCTTAGCCCATGCAAAAGGAACTGAAATGGCAGCAAGCTTGCTGATGCCAAAAAAGTTTGCAATGCAGCTTTTAAATTGAGGGGTGGGGGGCAAAAAACAGCTAAGGAGTATCAAGGAACAGGATAAATCATCCCTTGGAAGTGAGGATGAAAATACTTCTCATGATTCAAATGGGGATCAGATAGAACTCCACAATGGCCACATGGTCAAAAAATAGCCAGGCAAAGAAACCACAAGGAAAACATGAATGCCAGAGCCATTTGGAGAGGGTCAAGCGCCATATCAGACCACACAACCATACACTACTGAATACTTTGAAAAAGTTTAGAAAATACATTTAACCATACAATAGCTTATTTGTATTGCAACAGCTATTTTGGGTTGTATACAGAATTAACTCCAAGTAACCAAGTAACTAATGCAGATTTTGGCTGTGAGCATGCTTTTTTCCCCTGCAGGTTAGAGAGCTACGAGTACCAAGCGTTCCATGAAGCTGGTTGGTAGGAGATTCAAGACAGATAAAAGAAAGTGCTTCTTCATGTAGTGCATAGCTGAAGAATGGAATTCTTTACCACAGGGTGTAACAACAGCCAATAGTTTGGGCAGCTTTAAAAGGGGATTAGACAAACGCATGGAAAAGGTGGCCATCCATGGCTCTAGAATCATAGAATAGTAGAGCTGGATACCCCCAGTATTGGAGGTTATGTGCCCGTGTACTCCAGTCGCCGGGAAGCAAGAGTGGGGGGAAGGAGCTGTTGCACTACTTGTGGGCTTCCCATCTGCAGCAGCCAGAGGATGGAGAGGAACGGAGGACAGCTTCTCTCCTCATGCCATCTTCCATGGGTCACAGCTTTGCTTGGCTTTCGCCACATCACACTCACCTTAGTGAAGTGGAACTGTAGTGGATCATCTGTGGACAGGGAGACCATGAGGCCCCGGGAGAGGTACTCCGGCAGTGGGTTACGGTGGTAGCTTAAGAACAGGCTGTTATTACTCAGTGGGGACATGGCAATGCCAATCTGGGCCAGGTAGTAGAGGTACTGCAACACAGGTGCCTGGGGAGAAGGTCCAGATGAGGAGGTGAGCAACATCTCCTACCATGGGTGAGCCACCAGGAATGCAGGGCCCTCCCCTTTCCCAACTCACCCAGAAAGCTCAGGAGCAGAAACCCCTTCATAGTATAGCATTATTTCCAGCCTGCAGGCAAATTATTTGGGAAAACCCACTACAGGTGCCTGCTCTCATGTTCCCCTTGCCCTCTGCCTGGGCTCCCACGGCATACCAAGGGTTGCAACCATCCAGGGCTTTCTGGTCACAGAATTGTCCCAGCCCTCCTCCTGCAAGTCCACTTGGAGTTCAAGTACATGGCGAAGATGGGAGGTGCCTTACGTCAAGTGATACTAGTTGTACTTCTGCCCCAGGATTGTCTGCTCTAGCAGGCGACAGCTTTCCAGAGTCTCAGGCACAGCTCTTGCCCAGCTCTGCCACCAGAGCTCCTTTGAACTGGGAGAGCTGGGACTGAAACTGAGACCTTGTGCAGGTGCTCGGCCACTGAGTTGTGCCCTCCTCCCAGGTATGTTTCTGCAGGGGCGTCACACGCCCCTGATTTTATGCATGGCACTGCAAATGTCTCATTCCCTTACCTTGCGGAGCAGGAGGCCATGAGATATGTTCTCTGACAGCATGAAAGCTGAGACAAGGTGATGGATGGGCCCCGCTTCCCCACAGTGGGGACGTAGCACGAAAGTATGGAAGCCTCTCTTCCTAGAAAAAGGGAGCAGCAAAGCATACAACTCAGCTAAGCACATCAGGCCAATTTGTAGGAGGACTAGAAAACGAGCTGGAAAGATGAGAAGAGGAATAGAAGCCAAAGTCCATCACAGCAATGGACATACCAAGCACCCCGCACTATCAGACCTAAAATGGAGACTATCTGGGCATCATGTGGTCCAATGTGCTACCATGTAGTACTATCACCAGGCTTTTAAGGAACCTGGTCTCAGGAAATCACACCCAGAAGTCTTAAAAGCTAGCAGGAACAAGGATAAAAAACTGGTGTCCAACACAGAAAATCTGAGTGAGGAATGTTTTAACATGAGGGCCACCTACCTGCGCAGGTGATTCAGCACCACCATATTGGCATAGGTGTAGTAAAGGTAGTAGGAATAGGGTGGGTTGTCTTCTTCCACCCAGTTCCCAGGCAAGGGACTGTCCAAGTTGAAGATGTGGTGTTCTGGTTTGGATTCATCATCCACACTGTCAAAGCCATCGACCTGCCCGTCCAGAGGCCAAGGTGGGTCAGGGGGGAGAGAGGATGAAAGAAGGTTCCACTCAGTTTCTAGAACTCTTGTGACTTTTCACATCCCCGCATGGGAAAAACAGGCTCTGGGGTTTAGCGCAGAATCATCACAATGAAACCCTGCTCCCAAAGCTAGGAAGAGTAGCCACATCGATGACTTAATCAAGACTGAAATGTTTACACCAGGGCAGAAGATCAAACACCTGATGTCCTGGTGATTAGCTGCATTCAACTGAAACAAAGTCAGTCCCCACAAGGGGGAGCACCTAAGCCTTATGTACGAAATGTGGGAATAGCCATCCCTCCTCCTGCCCCAAATGCAAAGATGCTGCCAGGCTCAAGGGCAGCAAGATGGGCTGATTTTGTGCTAGCAGCACTTACGTGCTCCAGGAAGAGATGCAGTTCTGGGTGGCTGGTGGGATGGATTGTAGCTTCAAAGAGGGGTAAGAAAATGTTCTCTAGCATCTCCTGGAAGTTGGCAAGCTGCCTCTTTGTCTTGTACACATCACTGGAGAAAGGCAAGAGACACGAGCACACAGTTGTCATTCAGCTAAAGCACAGACTACCAACTGGGAAATCTCCCAGTTCCCATGGTTCATTAGTGACAGCATTCCTTGCTCCCCTTTCCTGCATTACACTAAGGGTTATTGTTAGCCGTGAGTTAGTGAGGCACTCCAAATGCCTGATCTCCAGAGGGCCAGAAGAAAAGCAAGGGTGCCACAGTGGCTAGGGGAGCAGATGATCAGCCCAGCAGCCGCTGGTTCAAATCTCACCTCTGCTATACAGCCGCTAGATTGCCTTAGGCAAGCCCCACGCCTTCCACTCATTTGTGACATGAACGATAATAGAGCCCACACAAAAAACCCACATATTGGTGAGAAAACCGATTTTTAAAAAACGGCTAAAAGTTAAAAACACTGGAACAATTCTGGAAGCTCATTCTAGTCTACTGGGGCCTCTGTATGTCACACTCCTTCCTTAAGCCCTTAACTGTTTTACTGCCCTTCACATTGTCAAATTGAAAGAAAGCTGCTGCGCCCTCTCTCTTGGTCCATTTGGGCAGAAATGTTTTGTGCATGCTTCTCCCAGCCAGTGAAACAGGTGTTCAGATTAGGACATGCAACCCTATCAGCATTGCTTGCAAGCTGCGCTGATAGTGTAGCTGAACAGTTAAGCTTCAGGGCTGCCCTGCTGCTAAGCTAGGATTACAAGCTCAGTTAAAGGCAAGCACATGAACAGAAAGCCTCTAGATTGTGCATCAGTTTGGTTGTCAAACACACAAAGGCAAATCAACTTGCCCTTTAAGTGTGTACAACCTGAGAAAGCAATGGATGAATCTGTATAATAAAGAGCTTGTTCTCCGTAGTAACAGGTAAGCAAAGTGGCTTCCAAATTTTGTTTACTTTCTTTTAAACAATATCACCCTATCATCAGAAAAGGCAATTTAGGCTGCAATCCTGTTTAGGCTACACTTTCCCCGCAGAAAGCCCCACTGAATTGCTTGTAAGCAGGCATGTGCAGAACTGCATTGATAAAACAGCAGTAAAAGCGGCTTTAAGTATGGCATGTTTACAGACTAATCTTAAGCACGTCTACTCAGAAATAAGTCCCAGGGAGTTCCACCCCCCGGCTCCACCCGATTTATATCCTGCCTTTTTCCTACAAAGGGCTCAAGGCAGCTTACATCATTCTCCTCCTCCATCTTATCCCCACAACAACAACCCTGTGAGGTAGGTTGGGCTGAGAGTCTGTGACTGGCCCAAAGTCACCCAGTTGGCTCCATGGCCAAGCGGGGACTAGGACCCAGATCGCCTGAGTCCCAGTCCCATGCTCTTAACCACTACACCACACTGGCTCTCTTGGGATTTCTTGGGATTTATTCACAAAACAGGGAAATATGGTACTCACAACAGACGAGGCACCTGCACCAGCCAGCGCACGTTGTTGGAATGCACCTTGTGGGTCACAGCCCACTTGGCCAGCTTGTCCCACTCATCCCGTGCACGGCCGTAGATGGAGAGTCGCAATTCTGCATTCTGATACTTGCTCTCTTCTAGGTCAGACATCACCTCCTGTGAGAAGAGAAAGGACTTCTTAGTATTTTCACAAAGGAAGGCAGTAAGCAGAATCCTCATTAAATGCATACAGATGGAAACACACAGCTTGAAAAAGGAAGCCACTGCAGAGCCTTGTATACAATCATAGAATAGTAGAGTCAGAAGAGACCAGAAAGCCATCAAATCCAACCCCCTGCTCAGTGCAGAAATCCCAATTAAACCATTCCTCTCAGATGGCTGCCCAGTTGCATCTTGAAAGCCTCTAGATGGGACAGCCCACAACCTCCCTAGGTAATTGGATCCACTGTCTTACTGCCCTCAGAGATCCCAGAAATTTTTCCTGATATCTAGCCAGAATCTGGCTTCCTGTAACTTGAGCCCATTATTCCATGTGCTGCACTCTGGAGTGATCAAGAAGAGATCTTGGCCTTCCTCTTTGTGACAGCCTTTCAGCCTATAGAATGCAATCATATCACCCCTTACTCTTCACTTCTTGAGGCTAAACATACCCAGTTCTTCCCATTTCTCTGCACAAGGCGTTGCTTCTACTTCCCGGAGCATCCTTGTTGCCCTCCTCTGCACCCTTTTCAGCCTGTCTGCATCTTTCTTATACTGTGGTGCTCAGCAGTAGACACTACTCCAAATGAGGCCTCACATACAGAAGAATCATGACTCACCCAACCTGCAACCTCTGGCTTCCAACCTGCCCTTTGACAGCCTCTGCCCTTTCCCAAAAAACTGCTCTCTTCCCTCTCTGCCCCAGACATAATATGTGAATTGAAAAGGGACAAAGAAGATCCTGCAGCCTGGAATCTGATGAGTCCTCCAATGCTTCTGGCACACACCTAGTCTGTGGTAAATGGAAAAATTAGAAGCTAGTCTGAATATGCTGCAAATCTTGCCCTCCCTGCTCAGACATGGAAGTGGGTGCCAAACAGAGATTTGGACACACTAAGAATGGGAGCTCTTTTAAAAGCACACACAGTAAGTTACAAGCCCTCGTGATTAAGGGTGAAGGTTTGCAGGCAAGCAAAGATTATTTGGCAAGAGATCAGAGACCAGAAGAAGCCTGTACCGGGCTTTTAGTAATGCAGAAATATAGTTCCCATTGCCTACATACCTCCCTTCCTCTGGCTCTCTTGATTGCCTGGACCCAATTTGCATGTCTCTCCCAAATGTTAAGAATTCTCCACAAAATATAGGTACACACAAGTTTTCCTAGATTATTCAGCACTCTGGCTTTAAGCAAAGGTTCCTGGGTAAGGTACGATAGAAACTAGGCAGTTCTCACCTTGATGATATGTGCGAAGTATTTTCCTGAGACTCTGTTGTCTGTTTTGATGAAAATCTCTCGCAGTACAGATTCACCTATGGGGTTGTATTTGGCATTGAACTTGTCAAAGCGATGGAAGGTGTTACGATCCTATTAACGTAGAAAGAACCAACAATGACCACCATAATTAGATGTCATAACAATGATTTTTCCTGGTCCCCATTTTGTACCTCCAATGACTATAAACACTGTAAGGAAAGGTAGTTTCCACAAGTCCCCTTTGTTCAAGAGCCTGCCCTGAAGGCAGCTCCAGACACTGCTGGTCAGCACTTTCTTCCTTGAGATATCCCAATGTCACCCCCAGATCAAACCGATCTGGCAAACAGAGACCAATCTTTCTAATGCGCACCACCTAGTAAGAATTAGAGATGTGACCACAGCCGGTCAGAAAGAGAGTCAGGAACAAATATTCATCATGCAAAGACAAGTGTGATAATGGAGATCAACTAGAACAGCAACTCGAGATGTTTTGGATGAAAGTAAATTTGCCATTCTGCCCACCTCATTCCTAGGTAAAGAAATACTACTTAACAAATCCAGAGCTTCCAATTATTTTTTCAAAGCAAGTCCATACTCTCTTTGATGAGGGCATTTGACATACCGCATGGACATCGAGCGTGTCAACGCTGAGATCATAGGCTGTAAGATTCATGGTCTCAAAGACCTCTTTAAGGGTTTGCTCTTTGCCCTTCTCTACATGGACAATCTCTTCCAGGTGCTTCTTCATAGCTCGCTTGATGAAGCGCAACAGATGCTTCTGATTCATGCAGGAGGATGCATGGATGTGCGTGTCCACCTGTTCAAAATATCAGCAGCTAAGAGGACAAGCCAGCAAGTCCAGAGTTCAAAGCTTATCTTAGCCATGAATTCACTAGCTGCACTTATGTTAAGCCACCATCATTTAGCCTCAGTCCCTACCACCCAGATCTTTAACATGGGGATAATGCAGGCCTGCTTTACAAGGTTATTCTAAGGACTGCGATATTGTGCTTGGACATTAACACATGCCCACTGCTGTACAAAAGCTTATTAATCAAACTCCAAACATTTATTGCCAGCTTGGTTGATATGGAGATGCTCAAATGGGTAGGAAGCTAATTCTTAGCCCATCTAGAAAACTAAGGTACAAAATGTAATATATATAAAAAGAAGTCTTTGGAACAGATTACCATTGTGATCCAAACCAAGAGAGAGAGACCTACATCTCCATCAGACCTGCCATTCCTTCACTTGGAATGCAGAGGCCAAATAGCGTTAAGGCTGAAGAATTCTATACTAATGGTAAGGCTTCCCCAGATCCCACTTATAACAGTAACTTCAGGCTCATATTTCTGAAGCACACAGTGCTGGTACCTTCCGGATATTGTAGAAGTCACGATGTGGCACCCTTTTCTGGGCTGCCAGTTCTTTCATCTCATTCAGCAGGACATGCATCTGGAACTTTGAGCTTAGGTACTGCAGCCGTCTGTAGCAGAAGGATTTTCTGGCCACACAAGAAAAGGAACCCGTTAAGCTTCAAGCACCTCTGAACAGACCCTCTCAGTATAGAAGGCCAGTGCTGCAAATCATGAAAGCCAAGTTCCATTCTCTACCCTGGAGCTGGCTCAGTTCAGTGCTTTGATTGGGTAGCAAACTATGTTTCTAAGGAGGCTTGGATGAAAGAGAACAGTGAAGTGCCACTTCCTAGGGACAGAACATGGGAACAATAAGAGAAGTACAGAACAAATGGCTGTGCTAGTTCAGCAGCCCACCCAGATCAACTTTCTGTAATAACAAATAATGGGGGATTAGTCATACGCTGCAGAGAAATTCAAAAGCAAGGCAATCAATCCTTCTTGTTAGTTCTGAGCATCCAGTAGTTGAAGGCATGCCATATCTCTTTTTGAACATGGACTGCACTTCCGATTATCATGGCAAGTAGCAATCACCACAGCTATGGTTTTTATATATCTATTTATTTCATTTTTATTCTGCCTAACTGCAGAGGCTCTGTGGCACCCCCAGAACCTTTGAGTCCCCTACAGGGGCAAACAAATGCCTCCATGTGGTTACTCAATCCATTTTTCAGACCAGAACCATCCCCACCACAAAGTCTTATGATGACAAATCTACATGATCAATAGTAGGATCGTAATCGACCCTGCTTTAGCAGAATTGTGAAGAGGAACCAAAGAGAAAGACTGACTGGCCTTGATCTTGCGCATACAGTTCAAAAAGTACCAACACTGCATCACTTACATGGGGCCATTGATGATCAGAGCCATAAGGACATTCATGTCAGCCACAAACTCCTGCAGGTCAGGATAGGGTAAGTCCAGTTCTGTGGTCCTTTGAAAAAGAGAAGAGATCAAATGAAACGACTGAAAAAGAGGGCACTGGCACCAGGGCAGGGCATCATGAAGATTGTAAGAAATAATGAGGCAGCAGCTGTGCTGCCCAGTTGTATGTTTTGGGTCGGTGATCAGTGTAGCATGAGATCAGGAGCAAAGATAAGCACCACCAATAACAAGGGAGAAATGAGAATTACCTCTCATCTTTGCTTAGACTGGATGAGAAACATTTACAAGAGAAGATTTCAGCTCAGAGAAAATTAAAAACAAGGTACTCTGATATTATATTGACCTATTATTACATATACTGGGGTTCTTCAGCACAAGGTGAAACTTTTTTCCCAGACATTTCTTGTGCTTGTAAGATCTTTGTGCTGGTTTATCCCAGGTGTTGGTTTTACTATATGTTGCTACTGGTTTTAACTTGGCTTTTTATCTTACTTTGTGTTTTTTTATTTGACTTGCTTTATTTTATTTCTCTCTGACTTGTTCTATTCATATTTCAATATCTTATGTTTTTAATATGAACCTTGCCTAGAAAACATGAGTTATTGGGCATTTAAAATGTGTTAAATAGAATATTAAGTTGGCTAGTTACCTTTGTTTCAAATGTAGAATATCACAATGCTGGGTTCCCATATTAGCCCAGCTCTAATAAACAGGAAAAATAATTTTCTTCAGTTGACACAGTAGGAATCAAGATTCCTGAAAATATTAACTTTAATTTTAAAATGAAGAAAGAGGTAACAGCTGTCACTATTATAGAGATACATCTTTTCTTTTAAATGTTTGAGATGGAAAACCTCCTGTTCCGTTTTCATTTATCCATGTTTCTTTTCCTGCTACTGAAGTACTTTGTCCAAATTTTTGGAAATCCCAAACACTGCATTCTAACCAATATGTGCAAATGGAAGAATCTCATTTCTTGAGGGAGCTATCCTATGGATTACTGAAAGGGCCAACCTTTCCTACAATTTTTTTAACCTTTATCTGCAGCCCCTGCAAGATACTGCCAATGCAGTTCACTGTGCCGTGTCATCAATATGTTGATGACAACCTGCTCTATTTCTCTTTTGCATCAGATCCAAGAACAAACCACTAGGCAATGAATGAACTGCCGCTGAATCCAGAAGGGAAGAAGAGATGATGGATGGGAGATTCTGTGGTGCAAGACTGATGGGTTTGCTTTTTAGATAGGGGTCAAACTCTACCTGAAAAGTCAGATTCATAGTTTGGACTGCCTCCTGGACCTTGCTTTGCTGCTCCATGCTCGTGCAGGAGCAATGGCTGGAACTGTGTTCTATCAATCAGTTTTGTCCAATACACTGGCTTTGTTCTCCAGCTCACATGAAATATTGCCAGCTGTTCTTTGATAACCACCTGTCTGGATTATGGCAATGTACTCTGCTCGGAAGAGGCTGCAACCAGGGTAGCATTGGGAAGGCTGCCTTCTGGCGAGGGATGGCTCCAGACAGCATCGTCCACCTGTTTACAGCTATTGCCGTTAGCTACCAACTGAGTTCAGGGTTCAGATGAAGGCGCTTGTTACCTTTGCCTTTAAAGTCCTCAATTGCTCCTGTATAGATGAAGAGCCAGTGTGATGGTTCATGCAGGACTGATCAGGAGAGGAAGCTGCTTCTTTCAGGGCCTTGTCCTGCTTGCTTCTGAGAAGTCATGATACTCATGGCAACCTCAGAGCAGGCAGGCAGAAGCTTGGTATTTGTATTGTTATTTGAAAGGGCTACTGAGTTACTCTTTCCTGCTTACATTTAAGTGAACATGGGTGGTCTTGGTATGTATGAGTTAAGCTAAAATATGTGGGTCTTCTGGCTTTGCCCCTTTTGCCTTTCGCCCCCTCAAGAGCTTCTCCAAGTTTCATGCTTGGGCTGAAGGAGGTGCAGCATTTCTGCTCTCAAGGGAAGAAGGACGGCATGTGTGCTATGGGCCTACAGTTCCCACTTACAGAGAAAACTGAGCCAGGATCTTGCCCAGTTAGATGTGGGCTGGAGACTTACCTACCTGGGCCCTTGGAACATCTATGGAAGCCTTTCTCTGTCAGCCACCCCTGAAAGAAGTGAAAGGGTGACTACGAGGGAAAGGACCTTTTCGGCTGTGGCACCCCATTTCTGGAATGAACTTCCCTGGGGAAGATGCCTGGCACCAACGCTATGTACATTCCGGCACCAGGTTAAAACTTCTTTTTATTTTCCTGCCATTTTAACTGTTGACTTCCTAGTTTTATAAAGGCTTTTAAACTGTCTGGTACATGTGGAATGGTTATTTATTGTATCATGTTGTTGTCGTTGTGTAGGCCTGAAAAAATTATTGTACACAGGTGTTTTTATTGCAGGTGAATCTGTTTTAAATTGTTTAAATTGTTGGATTTTGCATATTTTAATCATATTATGTAAGCCATTTTGAGAGCATTATGCTACTCAAGTGGTATATAAATGCTTTAAATAAATAAATACACACATTGGCTGGAATGTTATCTGTCCTCCTCCAAAGTTTCCTATCCAAATTTTCACCACCAAGGAAATTCTTTCTCAGAAGCACTGCCAGGGCCTCCTTGGTAACAAGAAAGGTATTCTGGCATTTCCTCTTACTTGTCCATGATGTCCTGCTTGGTATATACGTGAACTACTCCATTGACCATCTTGAGCCCAAAACCAAGGTCTCCAGGCATAGATTCAGGATCATACTTCTCATAAGGATGTTGGCTTGTGAATGGTGGGTGTACCGGAGCATCTGTAACATAGGAAGAAGCATATGAGGAAGACATACCTCTGCTTAATCAATTTACCCACTGAGGTGGTTATTGCAATAGGAAGCTGGAGCACAAGCAAAGTACTCTTGTCCACCAGGGTGTTTTGGCAGGGTTGGTAAGGAAGGCAAGACAACACATGGGGCACAAGGCAAGTCTGTCAGTCCTGAAATGGTTAGACATGTCAGGAACACAACAGATATAAGATGCAGCACAGTACCTCCAGGTCCCTGTTATACCATTTCCCTTCATCTCCCATTTGTCAGGGTGTTGTATTTGCCATGATTTTATAGGTTGACAGCAGCTTGCTGAATGAAGTATCAGATGCAAAGTTCTATTGACCAGAGAATTTCACCTTCTCTTTACTATTTTGAGAGAAAGTTTCTAGTTCTCATGACAAAAGATACACCTTAAAATGCATGGAATTTTTTGAACTTTCAGGATGGCTCTCAGTGATCTGTATAGATCACTGAGATCTATACAGATCTTTGCACCTTACTCTCCTCCCACAAGTAGCAAAACCAGACTAACAGTAGCGTATGCAGAAAGACTAAATGGTGCAAAATGGTACAAACTGTACAAATTGGAATAATGTGCACAGGATGCAGAATTTTGCAGTTTTCGGTGCAGAGTCTGAATTGCCTCAGTGTAGGGGGGCGAAGTACAAACAGTCCTACACTCACCCTGTGTCCCCTACCTCTCTCCATGGGCTCACTTCACCCATTCTTTTTAGCTGTGCTCTTGCAGACTGCACAGGAAAGCAGAGCTGACCCATTAGTCCCTGTAGGTAACCAATTCTGCATTCTCCCAGCTGCACACAATGACCTGGTTCACACAAGCAGAACGAGCCACGGCGGACGGTGGCATGTCCCAGGCAGGATTTGGACAGTCAAGCCCCAGCCATGACTTGTCATGGCATGAAGACCCTAGAGATGGTGAATGGTATGAGGGGCACATGTGGTCTCTTGTTGGAATAGACACATAATCCATGATCCTTGGACTCAGAAAATATCACAATCCCTGGCCTGGGCTGGGCTGAGACATTCAAAAAGGCCGCACGCGTGCACCGCTTAAATAAGCAATGGCGAGCTGCTTGCGCAGACCAGCTCAATGCATGACTTGCTCCTGTGCCACCATTGGCTGTGGGGGAGTGGAGAAACTGTGAGTCAGTGTTCTCTCCATCCAACCCACCTGCTGGACTTGGAAGTACATCAGCAAAGCCTTGGCTCTTTTCTAAGTCTACAGGGGCTCATCTTAACCCTCTCAATGTTACTTTTCCTATCTATCTTTTCTGCCGTCTCCAGTCTTTCCTAGCTATCTTTTCTGCAGTATGGAAGAAGGAAAGGCATTCTCTTTCCCACACACACGCCCAGAATCCAGCCACACCTGCAGCCACAGGGGTCTCAGGGATCTCCTCATACATCCGGGGGGCCAAGGGCTTTTCAGAAAGTTCCTGCAGGAAGCGGGCTGTGGTCTTGCAGAAGCTTTGCAGAGAAAGCGCCATGTACTTCTCCCGAATGAACAGTGCTTTCACCACGCTCTTGGCAGCATCCAGCAAGTCTGTGAAAGGCACCTGAAAGGGCAAAGGGAAATCAGTTAGTTGAACTGTGGATGGCCCTTGCCACAGCATCATTACGGACAGGCTTCACAGGTTAGAAAACAGAAGGAGCAAACTGCCACATCTGGTACCCTGCAGATGTGCTGGACTGCAACACGCATCATTCCCAGGCCACCTCTGCCTCCACTTCTTTCTCCAATCTGAGACTGAAGATAACTGCAGCAGGAGAATTCCTGCTGTTAACTCCAATCTGAAGTAGCAGCAGGGGGATGCCCTCAAGGGGATTCTTCTAAAGGAACCCCCCTTGAGATTATGCAGGACACATTATGGAGTCCTGCAGGCTAGAGGGTCTTGTTCTAGAAATTATGCAGGGGGGAATGTGTGTTTCTGTGTGAACACAGAGGAAGCAGGGAGGGAGGGAGAGGGTTCCTGAATTAGTCAGCCTTACCCCACATGTCTCTTCTCCAGAGATGGTGACCCGTTGAAACTCCCTCTCTAAAAAGATATCTCGCTCTTTGGGGAGGTGGTCAACCAGGTCCTCACCCTGCTCCTTAAACAACCTGGGAGGAGGATCGGGGGAGAGAAAAAATGGAGAGAGGTGAGGGAGAAACAGGAAATGACAGACTGGGTTCTGCCCGCTTCGTGCTCTGCTACTGGAGTCCCCTTTTCAAAACAGGCATGTGAAAACATCAAAGCAAGACACACTGCACACAAACATGGGCAACACAGGGACTTCCAGGCCTCCCTCTCCCCAAAAGGGAACAGCCCTGGACTATGGGTAGTGGGGAGCATTCCTAGCAGGAAAATGACTCCTCAGCCTCAGGAGGGGAGAGTATTTTGATACTTTACAGCTTTACTCGATGGCTTCACTGGCCCATCCTATCCTGAGTAAACAATTACTTGGCCAAGATGTATAGAGCCAAAATGCCCAGAGCAACCATTTGTGCTGGCTATACAAAGGAAGTGGTTTCCAAATGATCCTGAAAACAATGTCAAGGATCCTGTCTGGCTGAGTGGCTGGTTAATTATGTTCCAAGGTTCTCAGCCAGCTGACACACAGAAAACAAGTAGGGGAGTGCGGGAAGAAATATAAACGCAGAGGCAAGAGACTGGCTCCTTCACCGTGTCTGCCATGAAAAGAACAAAAAAGACAGAAGGGAAATGGAGCTCAGAGCAAAAGATCAAGGGAAGGTGACCAGCCGTGAAAAGTGAGGAATTCTTGATTCAACACTGTCCAAACACTGTGGACCCAGGAGGACACAAATCAAGCATACTTTCATCTGAACTGGTTGCCACAAGCTAAGAAATCAGGGCTTCTCGTCTCCTAAATGCAAGCAGCCCATTACACTAAGTCATGGTGCAGGTCACCGAAATCTCATTTGCTGTTATACCTGAATCCATCCCCCAAAACAGTACACGGCCTGTTGTGATATCCAAAACCAAAACTACGGCTTAGCCCTGCTTTCTTTGTTTCTGCCGCTGTCCATCCTGAAACAGAGACACCTAACAAGAGCAGCGTGAAAACGAAGGCACTCTGAAGGCTGGCAAAATGGGCAGAGGAGCACTAAACTAGAACGAAGAAAAGAATCCATGGCTGGCTTGTCTTAAATTCAGTTAAAGCCAGAACAACAAACCACAGCTCATGGCTTAACTTTATGTGTGAATATAACCACTGTCTTGTTATCAGAAGGGTTTGCCAAACTGATGTACACACCCATGCATGCACACCAAAATGGCAGCTAACTTTGGCCTTTTCTTTCCGGAGACATCTCCATTCTGACATGCCAGTCTTTCCTTCGGAGAGCAAGTTCATTTTGGTTGGTTACCACACTTCCACTCTGATGTCCAATTCCAGGCCTGTATTCTATGTGCTTGCACCTCGTCCTTTAATCACTGCAGAACCGATTTGTCTTAGCAGTGTTTGCATTTAATTCACTGACCACGAGGCCAGTGGTCGTACCTTTGCAAGCGGGTTGCTCCACCTGCACATGGACCAAACTGTGCAAAGACAGCATCACTCCCTTTGGCCTGCCAAGCTGGGACAGGGTGAGGATTCGGCCAGTGGGGTGCTCCCGCAACCACCCCTGAGTCAAGGGCAGAGTGAATTAATGCTAGGCACTCACTGTAAGTCAGCAGCACTGTCAATTTTCAGGAAGTCCTGTTTGGCTCTGAGTAAAATGTCGGGTTCTAGTCTGAGGACAAATGGGAAGTGGAGGCCAAGACCAAGATAGGGACAGACAGACAGACACAGTGAGATTGAGAGAGAGAGAGAGAGAGAGAGAGAGAGAGGGATGAGGAAATGGTAGAGGAAGAGGATGAGGAGAAAAAGAAAACACTAGCATTAATGTAGAAACCAACACCAGAAATGGCAGACACTATACAGCAATATTCACCCACAATGGAATCCAAAAGAGAATGAATGCAAGAGGCCTGGATCAGACATCATGGCCAAATCCTGGCTTGGCCACCAGGAAAGTGCTTCTGGTTTCCCTTCTCCCCTTGCACAAACCAATTTCCTTTTTCATGTGCTTTAAAGTAAATACTTGACCGCCATAGTTTGCTCCCCAAACTGGAACCAAATGATACAATTTGAAGTAAGGTTCTGGCTATGGAAGCAAACAGCGCGAGATAGCATAATTTGCTTGATTCATGGCAAGCTATTCCATAGGAACCATAGCTTGTCATGAATCAGGAAGCAGAGGATAAGGAAGCTGAGGATCCAGGGCATACAAGAGGAGAAGGGAGCAAATGACTGAAGCGTGTGGTATCTGAACAGGGCCATTATTTTTCCACATTGTTTCCCTCTTCCAGTTCTGGTCTCTAAAGTAGTACAGACAATTATGACTGGAGAAAATCCAGATGTCTTCTATGCCTCGTGGTAAGGTAGCTAATCAAAAACAAATCCCAACTGTGAAAACCTGAGGGTATCCAAGACACACTCTGTGTAGGAAGTACATAGGCACCTTTCTCTCTCTCTCTCTCTCTCACACACACACACACACACGTGCGCGCACACACACAGGCAAGCCAGTGGCATAGGGTAATTTTTAGCTCAGCTGTAAACAATATTGTGGTTTCGCTTGCACTAATTGCTACCATTCTTGTAAAGCAGCAGCAGCAACCAAAATGCCCTGGATGTCTCCTTCCTCTACCTTGTTCCCAGGATCCATTGGTCCATTCCAGGTTGTCACTATGAAAGGGTTGCATCCAATGTTAATCCTACTTAGAGGAGACCCACTGAAATGAATGGGAGTTAAGTTAAAGTAACATCGGATTCCCAGGTTCTCATGGATTCCTATTTGTTTTTTTGTTTTTTTTGCCCTCTGTCCTAGTGCTCTTATTCACCCATTGTCTTTGTTCTCAAAGGCTCCCTCCCACTCTTGGAAGCATCGATAAGAGTCAGGTCAGGAGAAGGCCAAGGAACGCCTGCAACTTACTTCACATCCTGACTGATCTGTCGCTCCAGACGCTGGCGCCGCTCCTCCAGTTGTTCAATGGGACTGTCTTCAGGGAATTCATAGGGGGCACTGCGCATTTCGCTCTCCGCCAATGAACGGGAGAACAGCTCCTGTGGGGCATAGGAGGACAGGTGTGCACTTGCATGTGTGATACGGAGAAAAAAGCGAAGCTTCCCACACATCAGATTCTTGATCATCAGCACAAGCCAGGTTGATTTACTTGTTGCATTTAGTTTTGCCCTTCCTTCAACAAGCCGAAATATGTGATCCTCTTCCTTCCCATTTTATCCTCACAACAACCCTGGGAGGTAGGTGAGGCTGAGAGTCAATCACTGACCCAAAGGCACCCAGGTGGCTTCATGGTTAAGTGAGGACTAGAGCCCACATCCCCCTAATCCCAGTTCAATCCTTTAACTATATCGTGGCCAGCTGAGGAGTCAGCGGAACCTGCCACAGAGACCTGCTGAGGTTGGAATCTCGCAGTCGCGTCAATGAAAATACTGCAACTGGGCAGGTTAAGGAGACAGGATCTGTTGCAGAGGAAGGCAACTTGCAACTTCCAGATGTTTTGGCCTACAGCTCCTAGGAAGCCTCACCAGGGGCTATGCTGGCATTGGTGGATAGGTGGCAAGAGTGGATAGCCTGAGTTGCAGACTAAAACATCTGGAGGGCTACAAGTTGCACACCCCTGATCTATACCATGCTTCTTTTTTTCAGGATGGCAGGATGTGGTGGTTGGACTGCGGACCCAGGGATATCTCACTGGATGATTGTGGGACTCATTCACACCCAGACTAACCTACGTTACAGGGTTGCTGTAGTGAGGATAACTTGAGGTGGAAGAGGTCTACATAAGCACTTGGGGTTTCTTGCAAGAGAAAAGGGGTGTGATAGAAAAGCAATCGCATCACAACAACTGCCAGTTCAGCGACTCAGAATGGTTCCAGCAGCTTTGTCAGTCAATGCCACTTCCATGGGTTTCACATTGCCCAGGTTACCCAAAGGCACATTAATGATTAACAGGGCACCCTGCAGCAGGGTTCTGACACACCGATGTTTCAACATCATGCAACGGCAGCTGCTGTGCCATTAAACAGGCCCCATATGCCTCCTGTGACATCCAGCGAGAAGCTAGAGCTTCTGAGTTTCTTAGGCTTCAAAATCACCACCATCTTCATTCCCAACACTTTGATTCTCTGCTTAGGGTTGCTTTACACATTTGTTTCAGCATACTATATAAAGTGTCTGTAAGGCAGAGCTTAACCTTATGTCTCCCCACAGTGTTCCTGTGATGAATGCAAGTGCCCATTTATGCCCTGCAGATGTTATGGTAATACCTGAGCCCTGTAAAATGTATCCATTAAAATCACAACAATGTGTGAAGCGAGCTCCATTTACTGGCTGTCTGGGGGCAGATTTGATACTTCTATCAATTAATAAATAACTCAGTGAGGGAAACTCAATAGAGCCAGTGTGGTGTTGTGGTGAAGAGCATGGGACTGGGGCTCAGACGACCTGGGTTCGAGTCCCCGCTCAGCCATGGAGCCAACTGGGTGACTTTGGGCCAGTCACAGACTCTCAGCCCAACCTACCTCACAGGGTTGTTGCTGTGGGGATAAGATGGAGGAGGAGAATGATGTAAGCTGCCTTGAGCCCTTGGTAAGAAAAAGGCAGGATATAAATCGAAAAATAAATAAATAAACTACCAACTTGCTAACAGAAAGGAAGGCAGATGTAACATTTTCAGAATGGCAGAGATGCACTGACAGGAATTTTACTGCCTTAGTAAAAATTTTACACACTCATTTTAATATTGTAGCAACAAGCTCTACAAAGAGACAGGTTTGAAAATTCAATCTGAATTGGAGATAAACTGGCTGCTGCTGGCACCAATAGTCTAGCACCCATAGCATCACCGAAAATGCTCTCTCCCATCAAGTTCTCTGAGCAGTCTTGCAATTGTTCTGAGGATTTTTTGAAGATGTGGATGAGGTAAAAGATGAAATTTATGACATATAAGCATACACATACTGCCAGAAAAAAAAAATCCAAGCAAACACCACCAAAAATATAGTCCTGACAAGACAAGATCAAGTTGAGTTGCATAGATATGTAAGGAAAGTTACAAAGCTGGGTTCACATCCAACAGCAAAGGGCCTGCTATACTATTCTTAATAGTGATTATGTCTGCCTTCATTCACAAATCATTCATTCACTTTGCTTTCATTCCCAGATCCAAAGTAGAGGGCCATTGAGGCATCAAGATGGAGCAGTTTACTATCTCCGATCAAACCCTAGTAGTGCCAGCATGCGTGAAAGGCACTAATTGAATGAGTGCAGGAAAAACCTTTTGCTGTGTATGTTTCCCTGCTGTGGCTAACAGCATCTTCAGGAACTGGCAACATCCACACACAAATTTGACCTGGAAACTGATTTCCTCCAATAAATCAAAGAAGCAAACCAATTACTTAACCTGCCAGTTGCAGGTGGAGGGAAACATTTTCAATTAATATACTTTGGACCTGATTCCTGAAACCCTGCCTATGGTAACAATGCATCTTGAAAAGTAACTACTGGAAGAAAGCCAAATATTTATGCACATGGTTATCATAATGGAAGCACCTCTCCTATATATGCTTCGAAGGCAACAACATTAGGGTTGGTGGGGCACAGTGGGACAACTCAGCACTGACCCACAAACTACTGAGTCAAAATCATTTACATCTTTCCTACTGAGGAACACCCCCTAGCTCTTCAAGGGCTCTTCCAGAAATGAAATCTGACCAAAGCATTCTCATAATTGCTTTCTTTGAGCAGGACTCAGCTCAAACTTTAGCAGAAGATGGTCTGCATGTTGCTGCGACAGCTGCTTGAATTAGGCAGCTTGGAACTTTTGAGTTTGGAGCATAACAAGGTGAAAACTTGAGAGATTCTCCCCATCTCCACTGCTCTTATTTTCAGGTCTCTGACAATGCTGTCTATCACTGATGAGTCCATCATTCACACATTCAAATATCATCCTGAGGATGCTTTTCCAAATACACAGAAAACATTCTAATAGCTCCCGAAACTATTCCTGAGAGCCCTTACTAGATATCTGCACAAAGGGGTCCAACTCTGCCTGGCTTTCAGGACAGACCTAAACTAACAGAAGTGTTCAGCTTAGACATAGCCTAAGCTTGGAATAGCCACAATAACCTCAACAGAATCCTAGAACTGAATAGGGAACTTTGCTCACTGTGGAACCTGGCACACCCACCATGGTGGGCCAATCATCTCAGTTGAAGCTGCAAGCACTTCTTAGCATACCCGGACTTTACACCATGGATAACATGTGAGACTGTGGAATCTGCATAGCAGCACTTTTTGAGGCCTCAGCTGCATGGAGGCACTAAAGCAATAAAGCAACCTGAGCCTCTGTAAAATGCCCCAAAGCGATGCCATTAAAAGCATCTCCAGTAGCACCTCCCAAACACTGCGTTGAATCTAAAGCTCCCCTTCCAGTTATGCAGAAGAACTTCAATCCAACAGAGGTGCCCACAACTGAAACGAGAAAAGATAATTATTATCAATTTCCCCTTCCCCTTGCACAAAGTGCCACACTGTGGAAGAGGGTTGGCCACAACCATCCAGAGCAGGATTTTGTGGGACCTAAGAACAATCCATTGCATAAGCAGAACTATCCTTCACACATCTCCCAATCTTGTCCATTCTCTCCAATAATAAAGGGTGCATATTTTATTTCCCTCTGGCTAGAGCATTACATGCAGTGCTCTGCTTTCATGAAGCACTTCTGAGAAACAGGGCTACACACTGGCCTTGTTTGTTATAAGAGCAACCAAAGGAAAATAGAAACCCAGGGTCATCAGGCATCCGATCTGATGTGGCGCCTCTCATAGGCCTTGTTCCAAGGTTATTGCGTGCAAAAGACACAAGAAGGAAGCAGAAAAGCTACCTCGGCAATCTCTTTGTACTTGCCATCCATGGAGGTGCGCAGGTCAACCGGGAAATGTTTCAGGCAGTGAGAAGGCCCTGGAAGGGAACGTGCAGGCTGCAGCTGGCGGGACCGTGGACCTCCGTGGATCTCTGGAAATACAGAGAAGAACTGTAAGAGGGACACATGAAAGGCTTGACGTGCAAGCTAGCAGGCTTTACCAGGATCGTATGACAGGAGAATAAAAGTGCTAAAGGTGCAGCCTACACAATAAATCTGTCAGGATCCAAAATGAGATGGACTGGAACAAAGTCTTGATTTCCTAGACCCCTCTGCAGAAATCTTTGCAATTTAGCAGGTACCTGTCACTTCATTCAACAATTGCTAAAGAGCTGGCTTTATCAACACTTGCTGCCTTCTTGGTCTTCCTCATGCATTTGATGGAAGCTGGCTGTTTCCTACTCATGCCACAATTTAGGTCAGTCTAACAGTAAGACTCTGTTAATTGGGCTGAAAGATCTCAGCTGCATTCCCGTGAGAATTTCAACCCTCCTTAAAGAGTTTGGGAACACTGTTAGTGGTTACCTGCGATCTTCTTTGAGTTGTCAGGGGTCTGTGCATAAAAGGAAGAGGCTTAGAACTGCCCCCTTGCCTTTGTATTCATGTTCTAATTAGCTTTCAGGCTTCTGAGTTTCTAGATCCTAATCTGGGCCCTGTCCTATTGGAAGACCTGTGCTTCAGTAACATAAAGGGTAAGTTTACATATTGTTCTGTTATTTTTGCCTGAAGCATTGTTCCAAAGGCTCTAACCCTTGTATACCCTTTTATCCCATTCCCTTAAGTAAATAAATTTCACCTCTACCTTCTAGAACTGTTTCTTCCAAGTACACCTCAGTACTAAATTCAGAGCCTTCTGCTTAGCAAACTGGTACTGCATAAAATTTCAGGCTTAGGACTTGAAATAAAGGATGCCAACTGGATCCTGATTTCTGCAGAGATCGGGGTCCAAACTGGCTCAAGCTGAGGTGCATAGAAGGGGAAGTGGTACACTTCCTGGATCACTGTTTGTTCCCTACCCACACCCTTTCATGCAACATATGGGAAACCCCACATGAAGCATGCTGGGGTTTCTATTTGGGGACTTCATCAATACCTGAGCTAAATACACCAGTTACAGTCAGAGGCCACATTAAAAATAGAGGGAAACTGCTTCCAAGCACAACCTACACTCATCCTGAACAACCTATTCAGCCACCCACAAGGTCCACCTCAAAAGGCCAAGTGAGCCCCACCTTGAAATTAGCAGCTGTTGGTCTATGTCACAGATCCTCCGGATCTAGTCTCTTGCAAATGTCCAAGAACATCCTTGGATATTTCAGATATTTGCTGGTATAGCTACTTCGACATCAGAGTCAAAGACCAAGTCCTGTGGGTTTTATTCAGCCACCATGCCACTGCAGAATTGCTTCCAGAAAGCGTTTTTCATGTTAAGTCTTTCACCTGGTTAATATATGATTGTGTACTTTGTCATCAGTATCCACCATTCCCATAAGAGGTGAGACAGAAAGCAAAGCCATACTACCAGCTCTACTAAAAGTTCATGTGCTTTCTCCTGCTGCTTAGCAGAGGTGTTATTAGACAGTGCCTGAATCTCTGGGAAGCCAGCTGCCCCACCATCCGACTATCCATGGGCACCTGATGGAATAAAAATACAGGTGCCCTGATTATCTCCGTTGCATCTTATGCCTCCTGAATCACCTGGCTTTGTGACCACTTGTGCTTCACTTCCTGCTGCCCCATTGAATCTTTCTGCCTGACATTTTTGCTGAAATCAGATGCCCTCCTCAGTGTCTCAGAAGTGAATCCAGCTCTCAGAGCCAAAAGAGGATGTTACTGATTTGAGGATGAGACCATACATTAGATGAGTGACAATCCATTATCATCTGGCATCAACATTTATTCAAGTATTCATGACATTCATAAGCCTGACACATTGTTGATAGCACTTCCCTATGTTACAGATGGAAAACCCCAGTGCAGAGACACAAAGATTTACTGTTTTTACTACTACAAAAATATTTCAAGTTTAACAGAGACTTCTGGCAGGACAGGAACTGATCATCTGGGGAAGGGGCCTTCTTTTGGAACAGGTAGTGGAGAGCCCTATTTTATTCCCTGCTATACCCAGTCCTCAGGCAGAAGAACTGGGGAGAAAGACCTCTGCAGCTAAAATCATAGAGATACACTGCTGGTAAAAGGCTAGAGGGACCTGAGTCCCTCCCTATATGGCAGCTCTTCCTTATTTTTCACTGGCTTTAATAATCATCTCTTTCAAATTAGAGGCACTCAGAAAGGTAGCCCTTCCTCTCAAAGCTTTCATCTACAGGGACCAGAAGGCCTGCCCTGCTGCTGTCTAATGTGGAAATAATAACTGGCCTCCGGCTAAGAGATCAGTACCTTAGCTGGCTTCCGGAGAAACTGTAAGGGGAATAGCACATCCTTTGTTCTATTAAAAGGAACCTGGCAAATACGCCCTCTCTCCGGTTAGTGACAGCAAGCACCGCACATGGATCAGTCAGAACCTACGCTGAACTTCAGGCTTGCACTCACCAGAGAGGAACTGCTCAAAGTCCATTTCAGACCGTGACCGATTTCTGCTCTCAGGCCTAATGCGTTAATGAGAGCAACTGCTCACCGATCAGACCTTTCCTCCCCACTGCTGCTGCAACAGTACAGTCACTCCTAGTTCCCATGCAGGGCACGGGCACGGGGAGCAGGGGTTGCTGGAGAAATCAATAAAGCAACAACAACAGCAACCCAGTACTTTGTTTCCTGCTGGCCAAAATCTACCATGGAGAGGCCTCTCTGGAGCCACACAGGAATGTAAGGATGGCTTAGCTACCTACCTCCACACAGCACAGGGCAAAGCGTGTTGCGAAAACACAGAGTCAAAGGAGATGACTAGGCACCCTGCAGCTAAAGCTCAGGCCACCAGAACTGACATGACTGACCTCAACATTCCTAAAATAAAGCAAGGTAAACAATATGGACACCAAGGGAAGGGGAGTGAAGGAATGTGGATTTACTGGAGATGTTGTGAAAGCAGGTCAGAGATCTGAACGCTCTGTGGTCACGGTGTGGACGGTAGAAAGTCCTCTGCACTACATATCTGACTGTAGGCATACACACACACCACAAGCGCTGCTGTGGCCCCCCTTTCTCCAAAGCAGCCCTGTCGATTTAGCCAGAACTTCATCTCTGTTATCCTCAGGCTAAAGGAAAGCCAACACTAAGGTTGACACTTTCCCTGCTCATTACTGCCCAGCAGGCCTCCTTTAACAGCTCCTCACATGCAGAATTGAGAGGGTGAAGTGCTCATCATCACTGCAAACATACATGAGCAGAAACTGCACCTACTGCCTACCCTGCAGCTGCTAAAAGGCCTAAGAAGCCCATTAGAAAGAAGGGCAGCAATTCTACCCACAGCCTTGTTGAATCTGCTATGCTGACAATTAGAAACACTCTGAAAAGTAGCCAAGGTGCTAGAACTACCTGCCAGCTTGTTCAAATACTACACCAGATTTCATCTGCAAGTTCTCCTCTTTCTAACATCTGAACTATATGTAGTGCTGGAAACATCAAATAAAACAGCAATTAACTGATTTGGGTCCAGCATGTTATAAGGTGGCTCATATAAATGTTTAAGTTTCTAACTCTAAAGCCTGCATAACACAGTACAGAAAGATGTCAGCTGAACTCTAGTAACATGCAACTTGCAGCTACATACTCTGTCAGTAGGCAGAAGCTTGAGGCCCCATCGGTGAGGGTGTTCAAAGACAGGCTGGACATGCACATGGTGGGCATGTCGTCAGCGGAACCGGCTGGTGCTGGAGGTCAGACTAGATGGCCCGGGAGACCCCTTCTGACTCACTCTGTTTCTAGTCAGTCATGCCATAAGGCAACACCTTATGTTGTTGGGCAGAACATTCCTTCATTCAGTTATCTGTAAGCACACAAGAGCACTGGTTCTAAATGCTCAGAAACAAGGGGGGCTTCTGAATCTGGACTCCCAAGACTAAACCACCCACACACCACACCAGTAAGTTGATGTGCATCGCTGTGGGATCCAGCTGTGCTACACAGATAGATGAGTTCCATGTCTGCGTCACCATGAGGCATGAACTCAGGGCAATCATGGGCCAGGCACTCACTCCCCAACCCGTCCCACAGGGTTGCCATGAGGTTAAAATGCTGAGGAGGGGGAGATCCATGTATGCCACACAGAGCCCTTGGAGGAATGACGGGCTAAAAATAGCATGAAGAATTAAGCCACAGTCCCTGTATAGGCCCACTGCCCCATAAGCATTTTTCGCCCCCACTGCCTCATGCTGTTCTCCCTTCCTTCCTCTCTGTCATATGATACATTTTCTTCTTTGATGGCTTTATAAAAGGATTAGCCTAATTCATAGGGGATAACACTCTCAATGCTGCTAGCTGTGATTATCGCTTATTATTGCACTCATATCCCACCTTTTCCATGCCGCACAAAACCCAAGGCAGATGGCATGGCCCTTCACCTCTCCGTTTAATCTTCACAATAACCCTATGAGATTGGTTCAGCTCAGAGTCAGCAACTGGCCCAAAGTCAGCTGGGGAGCTTCCTAGTGGAGTGCAGACTAGAAGCTGGATCTCCCAGGTCCCAGTCCAACACTTTAACCACACTTGGCCAGCCTCCAAGATGAAAGACAGTATGCTTTTTAATACCAGTCCCTGAGTGGGAAGGAGGAAGGTTGATATTGTGCTCATGTGCTGTCGTGGGTGAACCATGGACATCTGGTTGTCTACTGTATGAAGGGAATGAGGAGCCAAATGGGACTTTGGAATGATTCCTCTTATGTAATTACAAAGATGATGTCAACTGGTACATCCATTCATGCAAATCCATGGCCAGTTTGCATAGCCCATTATAATGACCAAATCTGGCACTTCCTTGGTTGAATTCTACAAGGCCTCTCTATCATTACTGACATTCACTTTCAAGTGGCTACATCTATCTTTGCATCCAAACCAGTTATTTTCTCTAGCAGCTGGCCAGGGCCCAGCCCAGCCCAGCCCAATCTGACTGCAAACACTGGTGTCTCATCTCATACTT